AACTGACGTGATTCTGCAATCTGCATTTGGGGTAAAATTGGGAGTTCATAACCCACTTCAATCTAATGTATGAAATATGATATGTCAAGAGCTTTGTAATGTTGTGAACAACCAATAAAAAAAAAAAAATTAACGGGTGGTGCATTCCTATAATCCCAGATGCTCAGGACACTGAGGCAGGAAGATCTCAAGTTCAAAGCCAACCTCAGCAACTTAGTGAGACCCTGTCTTATAATAAAAAAGGACTGGAGATGTAACTCAGTGGTAAAGTAGCCCTAGGTTTAATCCCCAGTAGCCACCAAAAAAAAAATGAAAACCTGTGATGCAAAACTAATCCATATAGATATTAAAAAGTATTGGGCTGGGGGTGCTGGGGTTGTGGCTCAGAGATAGAGCACTTGCCTAGCATGGATGAGGCACTGGGTTCAATTCTCAGTACCACATAAAGTAAAATAAAGACATTATGTTCTCCTATAACTAAAAAATTTTTTTTTTTTTTTTTTTTTTTTTTTTTTTTTTAAGAGTGGGGCTGAGGATATAGCTCAGTTGGTAGAGTGCTTGCCTTGCATGCATAAGGCCCTGGGCTTGATCCCCAGCACCACCAAAAAAAAAAAAAAAAAAAAAAAAAAATTATATAAATTATAGACACTTCTTTGTTAACCTCAGTTTGCTTTGGAACATACATTTTGTTCTCATGTTCTTTCTCTCTTTAGTACTGGGGATTGAACCCTGCAGTGCTTTATCATTTAGCTACATATCCAGTCTTTTTCATATTTTACTTTGAGATAGGGTCTTCCTGAATTGGTGAGGCAGGCCTCAAATTTGTATTCTTCCTGCCTTAGCCTACCAAGTCTCTGGGATTACAGGCATGTGCCACTGTTCCCGAATGTATTTAAATCTCTGATCATGTACTTGTCATTAATAGGATTGTATGATAAGCTTAAACCTAAAGTCTTCATCTGTATTCTGTGTCTCCCAAGTTTGAGCTGTGTTTATGTCTTTACATATGTTCCTTTTGTTCCATTTGAAGTTTAGCAGCTCTGATACTTTGGTCTAAGTTCAACAATTGCTGCTTTTAGTTTTTCTTAATGTAAAAAAAAAGAAAAGCCATATGGAGATTGCTTGCAGCAGTCAGCCTTTAGAAGGAACACCTCTCCAAATCATTGTTACTTATTATTACATGGCCCTCCCTGCTTCCTTAATTCCTCCATTATCTTCTTTAAAGTCTCCATCCATATTCTACCAACTGAGCCACTCTTTCTACAGAATGCCAAAAGTATCATAAAAATAGACTGAAAAAAGAAAAAGGGGAAATAAAAAAGGTTGAGAGTGACTGAAATCTTATATCCTCCTTCTCTACCATGTATCTTACAGAGATGTTCTTTTGACTCTTCTTTTCTCTTCTTTTTTTTTTTTTTTTTTTTTTGATGCCGGGGATTGAATTCAGGGCCTCGCAGTTACTAAGTGCATACTCTACTACTGAGCTATACCTAACCCCTTGAGTCATTTTTTTAAATGTCTTTTTGTTGTTGTTGTTGTTGTTGTAGTAGTTTTATTTATTTTTATGTGGTGCTGAGGATCAAACCCAGTGGGGCCTCACCCTTGTACTGGGGTTGTGACTCAGCAAAAAATAGAGCGCTCACCTAGCATGTGCGAGGCCCTGGGTTTGATCCTCAGCACCACATAAAAATAAATAAATAAAATGAAGGTATTGTGTTCCACTACAACTAAAAAATAAATATTAAAAAAAAGAATATCATCCTTGTGCCAGGGTCGTGGCATATGCCTATAATCCCAGTGGCTTGGGAGGCTGAGTCAGGAGGATCTCGAGTTCAAAGCCAGCCTCAGCAACAATGAGGTGCTAAGTAACTCAGTGAGACCCTGTCACTAAATAAAATACAAAATAGGGCTGGGTAAGTGCTCTTAAGTTCAGTCCTCATTACCAGGAGGAAAAAAAAAAAAAAGAATATTGCCCTTGAATATGTTAAGAAAAACCTTATTTCCTTGAAATGCATTTAGTTTGTTCTGTTTTAATTTTCTTTGCTTCAGAGAAGTTGTTTGCCATTATTTTCTAGAAAAAGTAGTAACCTAGACATGTTTTAGTAGATAGTTTAGTATAAATTTTTTTTAAATTTAAATCTCTCTTTTCTTTAGGAAGTGAAAGTACTTAATATTGATCAAAGAAATTTTAAATTACGGTCAATTGGGTAAGTTTTAAACTTTTCTAAAAGTAGCAGATCATGAAGGATGTTGGTTATATTCTTCATTGTACTCAGTGGGCAGAAAGACAAATAGAAATGTTAAGTCAGGGGACCACTTAGACTGGTCAGGATGTTGCATATTGAGATTGTGAGAGAGATACCAAGGAGTAAGAACCTCATCTGAACTTTGGAGGATCAGAAATTTGTCAGAATAAAGTTAATTCTGTTTATTAAGCTTGATTCCAAATTTGTTGATTAAGGGGGGGGAAAAGTATGAGTGTGTGTATAGCTTGTTTATATATACATATATATGTATATATAAATAAAATTGCTAAATGTCACTGCTTAAACCCCCAACTTGGTGGATGAGAAACACTGACACATCTTTTGACATAGCTCATAACTTCTAGACCCACTCAAATCAGTTTCTTCTATACAATTTATACTTTTCTTCTTTTATTTTCCTTCTAGAGTTTGTAAACAGTCGATTAGGTGACTTTAACTGGACTTGTTTCTTTAGTCACTTAATTATATCTTTTAGATTATCTATATATAGTTTAACATTACCATTTCATATTGAATCTTATTAGTTTCTTTTTATAAAATGAGGTCTTGTATTATCTTCTCCTTTTTCTTTTATCCCTACAACACATTTTATTGCTCACACATAAGCATATGTACAGAGATTTTTCTCTATGAAATGGTGGAATATTGCATACATTAGGCTAATTGACCTTTTTTTTCGGGGGGGGGTACTGGGGATTGAACCCAGAGGTTCAATCCACTGAGCTACATACCCAGCCCTTTTTATTTTTTATTTTGAGACAGGTTCTCACTAAGTTGTTAGGCTGGTCTCGAACTTGCAATCCTCCTGCCTCAGCTTCTTGAGTCTCTGAGATTATAGGTGTGTGCCACTGAGCCTGGCAGGCAAATTGACATTTAACTCTTAACATTAAAATTACCTTTACTGTTATGATGTTTTCTCAACATCATGTGTGAAAGATATATATTATTCGTAGTAGAAATAGTAGTAACCTAGACATGTTCTAGTAGATAGTCTAGTAGAAATGTAATGGTGAGTATTTGTATATATTTATGGTATCCTCTTAAAAAAAAAAAAAACTGGTTCAAAATTATTTAGCTAGGAAGTAGTTGAACAGAATTTCAAGATTTGCTTGTTTCTACTGTACCATGTTGTGATATTTAGCCTCATTAGTGTCAAAGGTAGATAAGAAAATTCTCTCAAGTTCTAGGAGAGTATCTTTCTAGGGCTTTCTGTATACAGACTATAGATATTTTGGGAAAAGTTATAAAATGCAAATCAAGCTCAGACTATATTGCAGAATCAAGTATTTTGTGTTTGTGGTACTCAGACCTGCTTTCTCCGTGAAAGATATTATTTAATTGGTTCTATAGCTCTAAGTGCAGTGGAAATTTTCAACATGGCACCCTATTATAAAATATTCACTAGTCAGTATTTATTGAGAATCTACCTATAAGCGTACTATACTGGGGCTTTTTGGGGATGGGGCAGCTTTCAAGCTTGAGAGCAACAAGTCCTTCCACACCTATATTTGCTGGCAAATCAAAGTGAAATCTGTTTAGCTTCCCTACCCCTTCCCTCTTCTTTTGGATCTCAACTATCTGAACCATGTTTATAAGGCTTATTTTAAAATATGTAAAGAGAACAAATGTAAAACTTTGGAAATCTTAATCATGTTTTAATTTTACTTCTCAAGGTGGGGAGAAGAATTTTCATTGTCCAAGCACCCTCAGGTATGTTTTAAAGTCTACCATTGAAAACTTTATGCTTCCTTATCATAAAATCTGTAAACGTGACAATAATCTTCAACTAATTCTAATAATTGTTCTAATGTGATAAGGTTTTCTTAAACTTTCTGACCTCTGGATATGTTAAAGCACTGTGATTTTACACATCTGATTAGATGTGTTAGGATTAAGCTTTGGGCTCTGGGGCTAGGTTTGTTACAGAATGTTGTGGGACTTAAAAGTTCATTTGCCTTTTTGAGCAGTAGTTTCTTCTGCAATGAAGGTATAGGACTAGATTGTTCTTAAAGTGCTTTCTACCTCTTATATTTTCCAACCTGTATACACTTACTCTGTAATAGTTAAACCTCTGGGAACAGGAATTGGGAGTTTTTTTTTTTCTGTAAATGTATTAAGATTTGTAGGCCAAACTGGGCATGGTGGTGCACACCTGTAATCCCCCTGGCTCAGGAGACTAAGACAGGAGGATTGAGAGAGTTGAAAGCCAGCCTCAGCAATGGCGAGGCACTAAGCAACTCAGGGAGACCCTGTCGTTAAATAAAATACAAAATAGGTCTGAGGATGTGGCTCAGTGGTTGAGTGCCTCTTCGTTCAAAATTACCAAAAAAAAAAAAAGGATTTGTAGACCAAGAGCAATGGAAGAGCAACCACTTAACTCTTCTGTTATAGCACTGAAGAAATCATAGAAGATACATAAATGAGTGTATCTGTGTTGCATTAAAACTTTACTTATAGACATTGAAATTTAAATTTCATATCACTTTCTAATGTCATGATTTTTTTTTTTTTTTTTTTTTTGCTGAGGTACTACGGATTGAACCTAGGAGTGCTTAACCACTGACCCACATCCCCAGCCCTTTTTTGTATTTTAGAGATAAGTTTTCACTGTGTTTCTTAAGGCTTTGCTAACTAAGTTGCCTAGGCTGACTTTGAATTTATAATCCTCCTACCTCAGCCTCCTGAGTCACTGGGATTATAGGTATGCACCACCAGGTCCAGAATCCCCAGCCCTTTTGATTTTTATTTTGAGACAGGGTCTCTAAGTTGCATGGGGCCTCACTAAGTTGCTGAGGCTGGCCCACAACTCTGGATCCTTCTGTCTCAGCCTTAAAAGTGGCTGGGATTACAGGCGTGCACCACTGTGACTGGCTTTAACTTAGAGATTTAAAACCGTTGTTATTTTGTGAGATTATACAAAAATACATGGCAGGCCACATTTGACCAATGGGCTGTAGTTTGCTGACCCTTGTGTTTAGGCCAAGAAAGCCTAAATTAGTTCCAGATGACTGGAAAATCCTGGTTGCTTCCAGTAACCATGGTATCATTTTTTCAACTGCTGTATGATGAAATGAATTCTGATGAGGAACTTGTGTTATAGTAGCTGTTTCAACAAGGTTGAAAGGAAAGAGAAGCATAAAAAGAAGAGAAACCAAGCAGGTGCAATGGTGCACAGCAACAATCTCTAGAAACATCACACTGGATTTTTCCAAAGTAAACTTGTATATTCAGGACATAGCATGACATTTTAAGGAGACCTAAGAGGGGCCAACCATCACATATCCCTTGGGGCCCCTTTTAGAAGGGGAATACTGCCACGAATGGGGCAATAATATGTTCTAGCATGGTAGTTTTGTTCTCTAAAGTTATTAGAGCACCATGGTGCATGCCTGTAATCCCAGTGGCTTGGAGGCTGAAACAGAAGGATCATGAGTTCAAAGCCAGCCTCAACCTCAGCAAAAGCAAGGCACTAAACAACTCAATGAGACTCTGTGTCTAAATAAAGTACAAAAATGAGCTGGGCATGTGGCTCAGTGGTGGAGTGCCCCTGAGTTCAATGCCTGATACCACCCCCCACCCCGCCAAAAATACAAAATTTTTAAAAAGGGCTGGGGAATGTTGCTCAGTGGCTAAGTGCCCCTGCATTAAATCATCAATACAAAAAAAAAAAAAAAAAAAAAAGAAGAAGAAGAGAATGAATGCTGGAGAAGATGTGAAGTAATTTTCTGAGTGAAGGGGACAAAGGGAACTTAGCAATAAGTGGTCAATACTGAATGCCTGTTTGAGATTTGCAGATATACACAGAGGGTATTACTAGTCATGTGGAGAATTTTCACCTGAAAAGCTGTATCTCACTTTCCAGCTAGATTTGAAGAGAAGTACAAAGGTAAAGTGAATATTGGCAGCTGAGGAGAAGACAATACATTGACATTCTAGGGCACAAGTTGGAGAATGGGGGGGTAGTTAGGGACTAGGAGAAATCCTAGCTAAAGAGTGGAAAAGCTTGTGTTCTTTGATTAAACCCATGTTTAAGTGAAAAAATGGATGTCCAGACAGGTCAGGCACCTTCCTTGCCCAAGTGGAATCACAACCTGGAGTGGAGTTCCATCTCCTAACTCCAGGTCAGTACTCCTTCAGCTGTGTACATTTTCCCTCTCCTTTTTATTGGATCAGTATATAATATTGTCTTAATTTGATAACTAGTTGTTTTATGTGGGTTTTAAATTTTTCAGAATAGTATTAAATTTTTGACTTTCTGACAGTTGTTGCTGAAGTTAATAATTCTGATTCTTTTTTTTTCCTATTTTTTTCTCTAACCCCATCTTCAGGGAACAGAAGTCAAAGCAATAACATATTCAGCAATGCAGGTCTATAATGAAGAGAAGCCAGAAGTTTTTGTGATAGTTGACATTTAAGATGCAAAAAAAATGAAAGAAAGAGAAGGAAGGACGGACATACTCCTATGAAGACCTTTTTTTTTTTTTTTTCAGAAATCCTCCTTTTGAGAAGATCAGTGATTTGATCTCTATGGTATCTTGATGAATGGACATTGATACATCAGAAAGTTTTAACTTAAAGTGTGACTTTCAGAAATGGGAAAATCGGAGCATACCCTTGGTCTGTGTTC